GGATCATTTGGATCATGGATCATGCTAATATATATTAATGAATTAAGTGTTCCTATTGGGTAACTAATATGTATAGATTATTAAAATTCTTTTTTTCCTTGTCACCTTTTTTATTGAGTAGCACACGTTAGTTCAAAACTAATATTGCTAAATAAAATACCTAAAGTAATGTAATAATATTTGATATTAAACGTCCAGTGATATATTGAGTTATACATATTGGTGTAATATATAACATTCACACATCACGTATATCTGTTATTACATATATTATTTATCCCAAACCACATATAACGTTGTTGGTTGGCTAATGTAAATATAAATAATTACGGATTACCCGGATTAATTACCTCCTTCCGTTAGTGGCGTAAGTTCAATATAAATATTGGTTACAAGTTCTTTTGACAGTCTTTTAGATCGTTTTTTGACTGAATGTCATAGATATCATGGGACATGATACAATGTTTGGCACATAAAATGGGTTTCGCAGAAAAAGTCATATTTATTTCCTTATGGAATGCCAGTTTTGGAAACCCGAAATTCTATCTAATTGGTTAATTTTTTTTTTTTTACTTGAATGTGTCCTATATTCGCATCTTTGCTTCAAGTTTGCTATTGCACAATGCAATTCATTCCCGCATCGCACAAAATACGTTTGCCAGTTGTGTACACAATTATTTGTTTAAAAACTTTGTCGAGTGTACAAAAAAAAAAATTATGGGCCATTTTCAATAAAACAAAATATATCGGTCGTCTTACAATAACAATGGACGGCACATTGTTTTAATCTAAGTGTTTTGTATAGAATTCATAAACCACATAACCACGTATAACACAATGATGTTTATTTATTTTATTGCGCTCATCGTTTTAAGGTCAACTCCAGGTATGTAATAAATTTCATACATGTCTTCAAAAAGTATAATTGTCTTCTTATGATCGAAGCATATAGTCTATAGCGTAAAGTTCTGAACACAATGATGGGGATTATTTAAATCTATTGGCGCACTAAAAGATGACCACTTTTCACTTATCCTTTCACAAACATCCATACTAACTGTTTATAATATCTAAGATAAGCTCTAAAAAAATCTTGTTGAGTCTAATTAGATATTTTCCAATAAGTTTAAGAACGCTAAAATTTTTAGATTATTTTACAATTATTATAAAACTTTAAAGCAATCGCGCAATGAAACTATCATTATTAATTTATTTAAAAAACTAAAAAAAAATGATAAATCAAATGGCTAAGATGCTAAGTCATGTCGTATTTAACTATTCAAATTCGTTTGTAATATCTACAAATTCTATTTATACAAATTTGTTTTTATTTTTTAGCATTTTCTGCTCCTACCGATTATGCATCGTCTTCGACGAATCCGTCCGGTTGCGAGCAAATAGATCACGCTCACTTATTGGTCAACGACATTAACAATCTGTGCCTAAATGAAAAGTATGTGTTGTATTACGAGATTTAAAAATATATATATATATTTAAAAAAAGCAAAATCATATTAATTAATAAAAAAAAAAATGTACTTAAATTATATAACATGTTTGTGGGTGGCAAAAATGAGGTCAGGAAGGTGATGTCCGTCTTCCATGAGGAAATTTTCGATTCTTTCGAGGAAGTTCTACCACAGTCGTTCTAGTGTCTCACTCGTGATTAGTGCTCCATTGTGACTGAGTAATCTGCATGGCCGTTCTTGGAAATTTGAATGACTGCCCCCTGACCTCGCCATGACTCTCCAAGGACACGTACAAAAATCACATAAAAAATTCCAATGAAAAGAACTTCGTCGAAAGAATCGAAAATGTCGCTAAAATAAATTGCGTACACCCACAAACGTGTTACATATTAAGTTAAATATATAATTTTTTTAAAATTAATATTATTTTGCATTTTTAAAATGTAAAGGTGTTTCGTAGCCACCCTGTATATACACAAGATTTAGTAACAGAAAAAAGACTGTGGTTTTTATTTATTTAGAACAATACATTTTATTTAATATTTACAGCTTTACGCGTGTGTGCCGAGAGTAATAACATTATATGATATTGTATTATAACGGTGTAACAGTGTTGCCTACTATAACATGCCTTCTAAAAAAAAAAACAAGGATAAAATCTAGTAAATTAAAATAATTCTCATGAACAAAACGTACTAGACATAAAATATAATATTATCACACATAAAAACAAATAAAATAAAAAATGTTAATGAACAACAATATTGAAATAAAATAATCAGATATTCAAACCATACAAATTTTCAACAGTTAACATAAATATCTCTTAAAGTTTACTATTTCCCTACCATGTTTATTTACTGTCCCATGCTGTTTAAGAACTTTTTGAGTATTTTAATAACTAGTTTGCCTACTGCAACAATCATCTAATGACATCATTATTTTTCAACGCAAACTTGATAATATGTTTTCTGTTTCTCCTATACCATAGTCCATTTTCAGCTTTTAATTCATATGACCTAATTTGTGTACCCACATCCTAGTGAGCAGTTATTCTGTAAGTTATTGTACCGGTAAACCTAACTGTTCATTAATGTTTTCCTTATCATATAATTTATATATTTTTTTTAATTTTATTCACTTTTATTTATAACCATTCCTATGACCTGTGTCCTCTCTGTCGCCTCTATGCATTGATTCCATTCTGCCTATACTCTACTGCAGTACTAGTACTTATGGATAAAATCACTTTAAATTTAACGCATAAATGCTTATTTGTAAATAAAGCACCTCAATTAAATACTTTCTTACTTTAATGGTTCATACTGTGCTTGGTTTGGACTGTGCTGGCTTGAAAATACTAACTACTGATTTGCATCGAAGCGTTTTTTCAAAAGTGATTCTATCACTTTGAGATTATAAAATTCCTGTAAAACTGTGACCTACCCGTCCCATCTATGCTCCGACTCCGCTGTACTGGTTTTTTTTTAATTGCTCTGTGTTATATTTAAAGATATAAAATTATACATAAACCATCATTCTTGTTTAACATTCAAAAGTATATTAAAAATATATTTTAATATTTATTTTAGGTATTCTGATGTTGTTTTAGTTGTAGATAACACACGATTTCACGCCCATCGTATGGTATTAGCCTCACGCAGTGATTATTTCAAGTAATTAAATTGTATCATTTAGTATAATAATGTTTTAGTAATAATACCTTAATAAGCGTAACATATACAAATTTGTTAATTTTTTTCAAAAACTTATTTACTAATTTTTCTTCTGTATCACCAATTTCCAAATTAACTAGCCTTAAAGTCTTAGAAAAAAACACGTGGGCATTGGGTGCCTAAAGACATTTAATGTTTTGTAAATGTTATACACAAAAAAGTTATAACTTTTAGTTTACTTACCTAATATAAATTAATTATATAGTTGTTTATTGTTAAGCAATAGGTATAGTGAGTGTTTGAACTGATCCTGTTACTTATATTATAGCTGATCAAAATGATCAGACCAATTTAAATTAAACGACACTAATCAGTTTTAGTGTGAAAACACATCTGTTGTATCCCATGCGATGTGCCTTACTGGTTGTAGCGCACATGTTGCATTTTTTTACTAATATTGTGTATATTTTTTTAGCGCATTACTGTATGGAGATCATAAAGATGCCCGGTTAAAGGGGGTGCCAATAAAAGAAGGATCAGCAGCCTCGGTTAAAGCGCTTCTTCGGTATATTTATTCTGGTCGAATCGATTTAAGTATTCTAGAGGTAAATTATAGTCGACTTAGATGACCGGTATTGAAAGGCCAAAAATGTAATTTTTTCAAGGCTGTACGTTTTTTAATGATCGTTCGGTCAATCGGTTATGTTTTATGTATAAAATTGGGAAATAAATACATTATTCAGAAAACGATTGTCCAAGTACACATGTTTTTTTTTTTCGGTATTTAGAGTAAAGTTATTGTGGAATTATTAATTCTCTCGAATGTATATCATTTTTTAAACTTACAATTTTCACTGTCCGAGTATTTACGGAGAAACATCGATGTACACAATGTAAGTTCGTTGTTTGCTGTGGCACTATTTTATCAAATCAAAGAACTCGAAAACGAATCACTTAATTTTATCGACATTCATGCTTTGGACGTATTGCAATCAGAAGATTCTCTCTCGTTGACTAACGTAATGATATTTTATAATAAAAATTGCATAATGCCAGTGTTAGATAGTCAGTTGTGACTGAATTGTTTTTTTTTTTAGGAAGCATTACTTCTAATTCTCAATCGTGACACGGCGTATGCTAACGAATTGGATATATTCCGTGCGGTTTGTCGCTGGATAAAAAAAAAACAAGACGAAATAGATGCTGAAGCTAAAACCAAAATTTTTTCTGCGGTCAGATACCAGCTAATGGATGATAAAGAGCTGTCTGAAGTTAGGCGATCAGAGCTGGTTAGTTCTGATATAAATATTTTGGATGTGATAAAATTGAGAATAGAATCCCTCCCACAAGAATTTAATGACCGAGGGCGATTAGGTATGCTTAATCCAATTATTTCTCTAGCAAATTATGTTAGTATCAACTACTTTATTCTTAAGAACCCAATGTGAATTTCGCTGAAGATACTCCGAATACGGTTTCTCAAATTGATGGCGGTACTATGATCATGTTGGATCATCCATCGAATATAAACTATATTGAAATGGAATTAGGCAGCAAACAAGCAACGTATGGTTTCACATATCGATATTTTTTATTAATGATTTATTATAATTTTATTTTAATAAAAATTGGAAAAAAAAATATTTTATAATAAATAATATCATACAGTAATAAGAATTTTAATTAGTCGATAATTTAATTTATTCACAAATAAAATATTGTTTTTTTCATTTATAATCAAAAACATGTTTAATCACCAAACAGTTTAAAAACAATTGCTTTTTTTTATAAATTTATTTATAAAAAAAATAAATGACCGTTCATTTGATCGAATTATTTGATTATTTAGATCTTACACTTATTACATTAAAGTATCGATGGATAGGCACAATTGGTTGCGTGTAATAGATCATTCAAATTATCATTGTCGGTCAATTCAACGTTTGTGGATTAACCGAAGATTTGTTAGGTACATCCGTATTATTGGCACCAATAATACTAGTAATAAGACGTTTAACTTTTTGAAAGTCATGTACAATACAGACAAATTGCACTTAGTGGAAATCAAAAACGGATTAGTGGGTAAGGACAATTTGAACCCATCACTTAATTGATATAAAAAAACACATTTGTCTAATGAAGTGATTTTAATTCTATTAGCTCCGAAGTACAATGTTGCTTTACCATCTATGGATTTAGCTGTAAACAAAAGACAACCAGATTGTTTACAGGTTCAACTCGCCCAACCGTATGTGCTTAGTTCAATGAGGTAATCTTTTGCATAACATTTAACTTTTACTTTGGTTTCTATTATTTATTATATTTTTTGTGTCTGGAGTACAACTTTTTATTATTAAAAAAATAATTTATGATTAACTCTGGCAATAATATCAGGTATAAGTATTATAATGGTTTATAGGTTGCTGCTCAATGACGGCGAAAGCCGAACCTCTGGTTACATTGTTCATGTTTCGGTCAATGATGAAGATTGGGATATGATTGTAGATAAATCTAATAAGTCGGCACGATCGTGGCAGTTGTTGAATTTTGATCCAAGGATGATAGTGTACATACGTGTTACTGCCGTTCGCACTTCAAAAAAAGACGAAGTAATATAATTAATCTAAGAGAGTTTTTTTTTTTAACTGTTCAAATATTTATTTTGGTAGTTTCTTAGATGTGTTAATTTGGAGGCACCTGCTCAAGTGGATTCCAACGGCACCCCAAAACAGTCTTGGTCGATATTACGGCTTTTAGGTCGTTCATAGCGCCATCGTTCGCCCGAAGGCCTACTTCTATGTGGATCCAAGGGGGTTTTTTACATGTCATTATATGTTATTTTAATTTTTTCTGCTTAATGAATATATGTATGGTGAAAATTAATGGTCACATACAAGTAATGTCAGTATATTATTTTATAAACATAACAATATTGGTTCACGTATGTCTGTAATTAAACAAACCATTTATCCCATCCCCTATAAGACGTTGGATCGTAACTATTACCTTCTTGTAGTAGTGAACATATTTGACAAGAATGTTGGTTACAAGTTCCGTTAGTAGACTTATAAATCGATTTCCCTGACTCTTCAACAATGTTTTCTTTAAACCTCTTTAAGGACAGTTAGTCCATTAAGATGTCGATGAATTCAATAAAAAAATTTAATAAAAATGATTGATTATAACGGATTAAAGTAGGCTTACTTATCAATTATTTATTAAAAATAAACTGATGTCTTCATCCCATAACCATGATAAGTGTTTTTCAAGTAGCAATAAAATAAGGAATTTTAAGGAAGGATTTGTATATTCACTTGCTAGTTACAAATTATGACTATCAACTTTCTTAAATACCTCATTATGCTTAAATAGCTATCGCCGAAACACTACCTTCAATAAGAATAACAAATGCATAAAAACGCAAAAGCAATTTAAAATTCTGTAATTTAATTAGAGATATAACTATTGTGAATTTTGATTGAAAATATCGACATTTTTCCAGAAGTGCTTGTAAATGATCTTCTTCGTGGGAGGTGTGGGTAGTTAAATTTGTATCTGTAGGCGTTTGGACGATATTATTGATAAAATTGTGATCATTATTATTATTCGTACCATTTGTAAGTTTTTGTGTACGATTAACCAGCACAAGGCTCTGACGCCATGGGTAAATATGCCAATTAAGGGAAATAATATGTTCATGGTATCCCGGGACTCAGATTTTAGGGTACTGCACCTTTTATTAACTTTTTTTTCTAATTGCTCTGTATTATTTTTAAAGAAATTATATTATACATAAATTAATAATAATTATTAGTATTTATAAGTATATTAATAATATATTTTAATATTTATTTTAGGGATTCTGATATTATTTTAGTTGTAGATAATACACGATTTTACGCCCATCGTAATGTGTTAGCCTCACGCAGTGTTTATTTCAGGTAATCAAATATTATCATTTAGTATATTATTCTGTTAGTAATGATACATTAATAAGTATTTTGTCAATAGTATTGCTACTTTTTTATGGTATCACTAATTTTCTAATTAACTAGCCTTAATGTATTTGAAAAAAAAACAGAGGCATTAGGTGCCTCAAGATTTTTCATATTTTGTAAATTTTATACAAAAAAAGGTATAATTGTCAGTTTACTTGCCAAATATAAATTGATTTTATGGACGTTATCCAATAGGTATATAAATTGTTTAAAATGATCGAATTACTTATTTCATGCTGATCAATATGATCTAACCAACTAAAATTAAACAAGAATAAATTTGAAATGAGTTTTAGTTTAAAAACACATTTGTTGTATCCTGTACACACGGTCCATTACTGGTTGTAGCCAACATATGTATTGCATTTTTGTACTAATATTGTGTATATTTTTTAGCGCATTACTGTATGGTGGTCTTAAAGAAGCAGGTCTAAAGGAGGTGCCAATAAAAGAAAGATCAGCAACCTCAGTTAAAGGACTTCTTCAGTATATTTATACTGGTCGAATAAATTTAAGTACACTACAGGTAACTTATAGTCGACTTAGTTAAAAACCTCAAAAAAGTATTTTTGTGTTTGATGTATTAAATTGGAAATTAAATATATTATTCAAAAAACGATAATTTATATACACATATTATGTAATATTTTATTTTGTAGAGTAAAGTTGTTGTGGAATTATTAATTCTCTCGAATGTATTTCGTTTTACAAACTTACAACATTCACTGTCCGAGGATTTGTGGAGTAAAATCGATGTAAACAATGTAAGTACGTTGTTTGCTGTGGCACTTCACTATCAAATCAAAGAATTCGAAGTCAAATTATTCAATTTTATCAACATTCATCCTTTGGACGTATTGGAATCTAAAGATTCTCTTTCTTTGACGCCCGTAATAACAATTGCTTATTAAATATCAGTATTGCTCATGTTAGGTAACCAGTTGTGACAGGATATTTTTTTTTAGGAAGTTGTACTTTTAATTCTCAATCGTGACACGGCGTATGTTAAAGAATTGGATAAATTCCGTGCGGTTTGTCACTGGATCAAAAAGAACCAAGACCACCTAAATCCTGGTGATAAAACAAACATTTTATCTGCCATCAGATATCAGCTTATGAATGATGATGAAATGTCTGAAGTTAGGAGATCAGAGCTGGTTCGTTCGGATAGAAATATTTTGGATGTCATAAAACAGTCACTCACACAAACATTTCATGATTGAGGACGAATAGGTATGCCTAATGTAACCAAAATTTTATCTGCAGTCAGATATCAGCTTATGAATGATGAAAAGCTGTCTGAAGTTAAGCGATCAGATCTTGTTCGATGGGATAGAATTATTTTAAATTTAATAAATTTGAGAATAGACTCCCTCCCACAAGAATTTAATGATCGAATACGATTAGGTATGCCTAATGCAATTGTTTCTTTAGTAAATCATGTTTGTAGTAACTACTTAATTCTTTAGAACCTAATGTTAATTTCGCTGAAGATTCATCCAAAGAGCTTTCTCAAATTGATGGTGGTACCATGATCATGTTGGGCCAGCCATCGAATATTAACTATATTGAAATGAAGTTAAACGACGAACTAGCAGAGTATGGTTTTACATATCAATATTTCTAATTAAAGATTTAATATAATTTTATTTTAATACAAATTTTAACTGAAATATATTTTTATCATAAATATTATGATACAATAATAATAATTTTAATGAGTTGAGAATTTAATTTCTTCATAAGTAAATCGTAAGTTTTTGGCTACGCCAAGCATGCCCAGCCAATTGTAACCTATTGTTTCTTAACGTTTCCAAGATACTGGGTTTATTGAAAAGCGTTTCTAATTCATCGGTTTTTCTTAGTTTTTACTCACCACTTATCATGTCATATATAGGTCCAGAAATAAAGTTATAAGACACATTTAAGAAAGCTAGCTCGCGATACTTATTGCAGTATTATTTACTTCCTTGTTTATGTATTGGACAAATCACCGCGGTCTTCCCTTCTGGCATTTTTGCTGTTGGCAAAACCTCCCAAATTAACTTCCATAATCATAAAGCCATTGCTTCTACTCCTTTCTTTAGAAGTTCTGACTGAATCTCATCTTCCTCGGGAGAGTTATTGTTTTTTCAGTATATTTATCTGCAATTTTATTTCCTCCAGGGTAGGTTCTTCACAACCCTGTTCTTTTCGGATTTCCTGATTAAAATAAAAAATTTCAACTGGTTCTTTATAGTTTAATTACTTTCTAAAATAATCACCCAATTTCATTACTTACTCTTCATTTGTAGTTTTTTGTATCCACCACTGAGGTCATTCACTCGGTTATACATATCCCTAGCTCTACGCACTTTATAGTCAAGTTTTGCTGTTTCTAATATATTTTGAATGTATTTTCTCCTTTCACATCTCAGTATTCTGCTGGCTTCCCATTGGCGTGTTCTAAACCTTGTCAACATTACTTCATTGCTGGTGTCATTTACCCATTCTACTCTTACTAGTTTTCTTCTTAGTACTGCTTCTTTACTATCTTATTGAACCGCGGTTTTGCCTTTGATATTTTTTTCCATTATACCTTCGTTGTTGCTCCACTTATAGTTTCTTTAACAAAATTTAATTAAAATAATTAAATTTATTCACCAAAAAAAATATTAATATTTTATTCTTATATTAAAACATGTTGTTTATTCACTAAATAATTGTTTCAACTTGTTTGATTATTTAGTTATAAAACTTATTACATTGAAGTATCAGTGGATAGGCACGATTGGTTGCGTGTAATAGATCATTCGATTTATCATAAAACATTTAGCCTATTACCTAACCTAACCTTAGCCCATTTATGATATTCAGCTGATAGCTTAAATCCATGCATAGTGATTTTATACGAAACCTGACATTTCATAAGGAAGTAAATTTACATTTGTTTGCGAAACTTGTTTTATGCGCCAAACGTTGTAACATGACCATATCTCTTACATTCAGTTCAGACTTTAAAGCTGGGTATAATACTCAGTTGAAAATCGATCTAAAATTCTGATAGTTGAACATGTAACCAATTTTATTGTCGAATTTTTTCACTAATGGAAGGAGGTAATTGATGCAGGTAATCCGTATTTGCGTGAAAGATAAAACCAAAACGTTTTTACTTATCTTTTCACAAACATTCTTTCTGACTAGCTATAATGTTTAAGATAAACTCTAAAAAAGAGGCTAATCGAAGTGGATTCTATTTAGATATTTTTCAACAAATTTATCGGAAGATATTCAGGCTTTGTCCTTAATTTTATATTAAGTGCTTATATTGTTAAATTATTTAAAAAATATAAAACAACGCTGCACTCGCGCAATAAAACTATCATTATTATTTTATTTAAAAACTAAAAAAATTCTAAATCAAATGGCTAACATGCTAAGTCATGTCGTAAATAAACTATTCAAATTTGTTTATAAAATCTGTTTTATTTTTTAGCTTATTCTTATTCTACTGGGCATGCGTCATCTTCCTCGAATCCGGTCGGTCCCGAGCAAATAGATCACGCTCACCTAATGGCAAACGACTATAGTCAGCTGTATCTAAACAAAAAGTATGTGTTTTACTACGGTATTTTATAATATATATTTATATAAAATTTAATTGAATGTAAAAAACATTAAATTGTATTTGATCTTTACAACATTATATGTGCGTGCTTAGAGTAATAACAATATGATGACGTATGATAAAACTGTAATTTTAAGGAGAATACGTACTTATTCCTTGAATAATATAAAAAAATATGATATTTGTTTAATGAACTGA